ATAAAATGTCATTTAATGTAGAGTTCTCTGTCTCAAAAAACTTATATAACTGTGCTTTGACTTCTAACAGGCAAAATAGTTCTCAGAGATTTCTGAGATGCTGTTCCCAAGTTATAATCCTTAATTTGGCTCAAATAAAAATTTCCATTGCTTTCTTAGATTGGTTTTTACTGACAAAGGAAACAATGAAACTTATTATATAATACTAATAATATATAAATTATAAATATATAATATATTATGAATTATATAGATTATATAATTAACTACTACATAATGTTATATAATTAAATATTCAATCTCATATAATTTGAAATATAATATCTGAATATTTAATTTGTGGTACTTAAATATAGCATTACTACTTCAGGAGTCAATTCAAGATGCAGATCATTTACAAATATATTAGACTGTAAAGACTATAAAACTATGTAAAATAAAATGGATAAATGAGAAGGTCCACTTTTTTTTTGACTTATGCTAAGCATGCTCCAACATTTGGAGATGTTTGTTTAGATTACATTGAATACAGGATAGTCATTATTTCATCTGCGTATTCTTTTCATTGCAGATTTTATAGCATTGCATATATAGCCTGAGTACCTTTACAAAATTACTCTATCAACAAAATTGTTCTTAGGTAAAAATATACAAACCACTTTTATCCCTCAAGAATAGTGGTATTTTAATAAACTTTCTTTTCAAAAAATATTTTGCAATTTCTAAGCCTCTCTGAGTACTCTATTTTCAATCAGGTAAATGAAATTTACCCTTATTCTGAACTCAACTATTTACAAATAATGAAATAAAATTTCAATCTTGATTCATCTGAAAAATTATCATTTGCATGTATCTATTTTAGAGCATTCCAACATCCAGCTGATATAACTGAATGCCATATTCATTTCACCTGCAGTGTTCATTACATGTGACATTATACATTGTTAGCATCAAATAGATTATATAATAGTAATACTTTTTAAAAATTTAATAAATAGTTCCTAGCCTAAAAAGCTGGGCTAAATAATATTAGCAGTTGTTTTACTGCGGATCTCTCAGAACTGGAAATATGTTAATCTACATTATGACATCTCAAAAGGAAGATTTTCCAGTATTTCCCAAATATTTCTGATCATGAAGCTTATGGTTTTGTAGAATATGTCTCAAAACTATTGTGCTGTGGAACATAATTTTGGGGAGAGGGTGTAACAAAGTACTGTGCAAGAAATAATGGGAAAATATATAGATTTTAAAGTGGTAACTTAATAAAGACATTTAATTGAGTGCATACCCATTAAAAGGACAATGTAGCAGTTTTACAAAGCATATAAAATGTGATTAATAAAATAATCTATTTCCATAAAATTTGAGATTATAGAGTACCCACCTGATTATAACTTTTTTAGCACAATTTAAAAAATGTTTTGTGGTAGAGACATGTTAGTATAGCTATGACTGATCTAGGGTTCAGATCACTCCTAGAGGATTGTATGCAATCCCTGGTAATACATTTTAAGAGAGAGGCAAACTGTTACTTGTTGAGAATAGAGGAATTGAGATGGTAAGTGGGCTACACATTTGGTGATCAGAGGTACTGAGATTAATTAGTGAGTAAAGGAGAAAACAGAGTTTTTACTCTACAGTGTGTAAGCTAATTATTCAAAAGTATAAAAGACTTCTTGAAGAAGTATGGATTTCTCTGTTAATGATGGTACTAAAACACAGACAAATTTATTATTTTTTCTTAGACTCTGAAAGGGAATACAAAGTCAAATGAAATCTTGCAAAAATACATTTTAAGATTTAACATTCTATAGTCCAGCAAGAAAAAGCAAGCATTTTATTTTGTAATATGTGAACTGTTCTCATATTCTGATTAGAGAGAAATAAAATTAGTTCATAAACTAGCCAAATTTTTACCATTTTATCTTATTTAATCAATGTGTAAATCTGGAAGAGATAATAAATACCAAAATCCTAGTAAACCCAATGACTTTGGGCTCTTGCCCAGATGAATTTATTCCTTCCTCCTTTGATTCTATTTGACCTTTTATGAAAGAACAACCATCACCAGACTGTTAAGTTTGAAATTGCTATAAAAAGTGGTATAATTTTGAAACAATAGATGGATGGGGGAATATTATAATTATCTCAAATGACCAGGCTGAGATAGACATTTTAATAAGTGATGTTGGGACAACTGGGTAGCCACTTAGAAAAACATGGTATCTGACCTTACAGATCCTGTATGCTACTTTACACAATACAAATTCTACACAAATTCTACGGAAAAAAAAAAGTGACTTAATTCCTCTGTTACCTGACTGTATGGGAAAGCTTTCAGATTATAAAGCAAAGTGCAGAAGCAAGAAACGAATAAATTAACAAATGTGACTACAAATTAAACAGCATATACTTTTACACTGCTAAGAACATCTAAAGTCAAATATAAGTTAAAAATTGAGAGCAAATGTTTGTAAAATTTATCACAGAAAAAAGACAAAAATCCATTTATATAAAAATCAAGGCTATTTTTTTTAATTGAGAAAATAAGGACTCCAGCATCTAGTCAAAATGGAGTGAAAAAGATCCGAATATCCTTTCATTTGAAACAACTATGACAAAACATATCACACAGTGACACTCAAGTTATTGGACATCAGACAATGAAGGACAGTGGCCCAAGAAAGTCTGGAAACAACTGAAGGGAGTCCCATAATTGTCCCAGGTATGATCCTAGAGAAAGTTTCTGGGGAATAGTGAAGGAAAGAGAGCCGAAGCAAATAGTTGTCTCTCTGGCTGAAGAATGGAGTTGGGATCTAAGGAAGCCTAGACAGCTTCAAAGAGCAATTTCATAAGGCAGAGTACAAGAGGGGAGAGAGCTGCACAGAGAGGGAATGGCAGATATCTGAACAGGGTCCCCAACAATATTCACTTGAATACTCATTAGCTCATTTGTGTGAGTAAACTAAGGACTTTGAAAAAATCACCTAAAAAAGATTATAAGGAACAGGGAAGAGAATTCATACAGGGCTTAGAAAAATTCTTATTCTCACCAGCCTGAGTGGAAAAGAAAAACCTTGTAATTAATGAGGCAACAGCTAGAGTACTAAGAAGACTCTTGCCTCATAGTGGAGAAAGATTATCTCTTGTCTAAACACAGTTCTAGTTTCACCTAACAAAGAGTAAGACCCAAATGATCAAATTCTTTCCAAGTAATTTTAATTATGTTCCAGAAAAAAAGAAAGTCAAGGATATTCACAGGAAAACAAAATTGCCCTATATATAGGAAAATAAAATTCACAACGTCCAGAATCTTAAAAGAAAAAAACACCAGGAATGCAAAAAAGTACAACACAAAATACACAATGAAAATACATCACAAAATGAGGAGAAAAAAAACATTAAAACTGACCCAGAAAATGATCGAGTTAATACTCACTGAAATAGTCCTTATATATTCAAAAAGCTAGAGGAAAGACTGAACATGTTAAGGAGAGACATGGATGATGTAAAGTCTCAAAGCAAAAATCTTGAGATAGAAACAAAATGTTACAGATAAAAATGAGATTAATGATAGATTAGACAATACAGATGAGATTAGACAATTTAAAGATGTAGCAGTAGGAACACTCTAAAATGAAACACAGGAAAAAGAAAGAAGCCTGAAAACCATGGCCTCTGGGCCAAATCCAATGATGCCTACTTGTTTCCGTATTATTTATGGCTGTTTTACCACTGTAACAGTAGAGTTGAGCTGTCTGTGGCAAGGACCACAAGGCCCACAAAGGCAAAAATATTTACTGTCTGGTTCTTTACAGAAAAAGTTGCAAACCGTTGTTCTACCAATTCAATAAGACATACATGATAATGATAATAATAATGGATGGGATGATGATAGCAGTAGCAGCAGTAAAGTGTATTATTTGTTTAGGAAGAAATAAAATGTGTATTCACAGATAACATAATAATTTATATAGAAAGTTTCACTGAATCTACTAAGAAGCTACCAGAACTCATAAGCGAGTTCACCAAAATTATTGGAAAAAACATACAAAATTTAACTGGACATCTTATAATGGCAATGAACAATCAGAAATTAAAATTATAAGAACAATACCATGTACCTTGCATTAATAATATGAAATATTAAGGAATAACGCTTACAAAAATATGGTCAATAGCTATACACTGAAAACTACAAAACTGCTGAGAGGAATTAAAGAAGGTTTAATGGAAGGAACTAAACGGAAGGAGGGAATTGAGGGTCAGTGAGTTTCTGGAATAATGGGAATATTCTATTTCTTGATTGTAGTGTTGGTTGCATGACTGCATCAGAATTCATCACATTTGAACACTTAACAGGGTAAATTTTATTACATTTAAATTATAACACGATAAGCTGGCCTCAGATGAATCCTATTTTTTAAAAAGTCCCAAAGACATGAACAATTACAAATAAAAACATTAATCATATGAATGATGTAAGTTTATGGTAAGGTATAAAAAATAAAAACCATAGTGCAATGCAATTCCTCACCCATCAGATTAGCCAAAATTCCAAAGCTAGGCTATAGGAAAATTGGCAATCTCATATATCACTGATGGGAAGGCAGTAATGGACAGATATGGCAATACTTAACAAAACTACACGCTGTTTATTCTTCTTCACTGAAATTCCATTTCTAGGAATTTACTTGACAACCACAAAAATACTAAAATACACATGCATGGGGTTATGTATTATATGGTTAAATGTTACTGAACAACACTGAAAACCATTAAATGTCTCAACATAGAACTTTGCTTGAATAAACTATAGTGCATGAGCATAAAGAAATCCTACGCAGATTTTTAAAAAATGGATCAACTATAGAAATGAATGTGGAATGATTTCAAAGATATATTAAGTGTAAAAAGCAAGGTGCAAATAGTCACCATCACCCACACAGACTATGTGTATGAAAGAAGGAATAAGAAAACATGCATAATTTGCTTACTTTTGCAGATTTAAACCATAGGACTCTACTTCCAGTAATGATGTCGGGAGGAAGTATTGCAATCCCCTCTGCAAAAAAACAAGTATAAAGTTGGAAAGTATTATTTAAAATCATTGTTTCAGGCACTAATAAAGGACTAAATTCAGGTAACAATTGAGAAGAGTTTATTCATGATAAATTATTACTGTGTTGTGTAGGCACACTGAACTTGTAGTATTCTTGTCTTATAATACCACCTTCACCAAGAGCTGCAATGCCTGAACCTTTACCAGCCAGAGGTACTAAGTACCTTTTGAGGTAAACATCAGTGCTCCCAGTAATTTAAGGGAAATTTTGGAAATGAGAGAATTAAAGACTGACTAAGAAAATAAACTTTCCACACAAGCCTTTTTGGCTGAAGGCTGACTGAACTACATACACCTGAGGAGATCCTAGAAGCCCAGAGAAAACTGAAAGCTTGCGGAGACTTGAGAATTTTCTCTCTTGGAATGTGTGCCTCAAGTTTCACACACAACTCAGACAGCAAAGGGCAGAAGCCTTAATTGCTTGAGGTATCTATCTGAGCTTAAACCTGTGACCAACTTTAAAGTATGCAGGAAAAAGCTATGGTGCTAAAAGAAAAAAGCAAAACACAGAGATAGCAGACCACAGGGAGATAGATTTCACAGTATGAGCGTAAAAATTTCAACTGCCTATTGAACAAATAAATAAATAAAACAAATAAGCAAATAAAAAAAACAGAAATTCTCAGAAAAACAAAATAGAATCAGAAGTTGCTACACTGTATTATCCACAATGTCCAGTTTTCCAATAATTATTAACTATGCAAAGAAATATGGAATTTTCATGAATAATCAGGAGGAAGAAAAAGAAACCAATAGGAAGAACTCTGCATGTCTGAGTGTGCCCTGAAGTTGGATTTAGCAGACAAAGAAGCTTTTATACATATGCTCAAAACTTGAAGGGAAAGAAAGAATCATAATAGTATGTACTAAGAATTAGTGGAAAAAATAGGGTGTCTCATCAGAGAAACAGAAATTATGAAATAATCAAATGGCAATTTTAGAGTTGAAAAACACAATAAAAATTGTCCTGATGGGATTGATAGCAAATTTGAGACATGAAAGACTCACTGAATTTCAAAGTAGACTAACAGTAATTGTCTAATATCAAACACAGAAGAAAAATAGATGAGAGAAAAATAAAAGTATCCCAAGAGATGAGTGTCACAATATCAAGCATTCCACAATATGTGAAAGTGGAGCCCAGAAGAAGAGAAAGGAGCAGAAAAATACTTGAGAAAACAATGGTCAAAAACATCCCAAATTTACCACAGAACAATAATTTCCAGATCCAAGAAACTTAACAAATCTCATGTAGGAAAATACAAAGGAAATCATACATCAATCAAAGTGCTAAAAGCCAAGATACAGTAACAACAGCAAGGGCAAATTAATACAAAACAATTGGGGCAATGGTTATTATTAATGAGTATTCCATCAGAATCAATGGAAGCCAGAAGAATGGTGTATCAAAGGTGCTGAAAAAAATTGTCAAGTAAGAATTTTATGTCCAATGAAACTACCTTTCAATACTTAAGGCATAAAAAAAGAAATTTCTAGGTAAAGAAAACCTGAATTTGTTGCTACCAGATCTGTGCTAAAAGAAATGCTACTGAAAGTCCTTGAGATTAAAGAAAAATGCACCAAAAGGTAATCTGGATCCATAAGAAGGAATGAAGATACTGGAAATAGTAAATACGGAGGTCAATATAAAAGTGTGTGTACTGTGTTTCCTTCTTTTACTTTCATTAACAGACATAAGATTGTTTATAACAAAAATTATAAAGTTGGGGGGAGGGTATAGCTCAGTGGTACACTGCATGCTCAGCACGCATGAAGTCAATCCCCAGTACCTCCATTAAAAAAGTTGAATTTAACTAAAAAATCAAGAAATAAATAAGCCCAATTACCCCCCTAAAATTATAAAATTATATTTTGGGATTGATACTGGATATACACATAAAACATCACAATAACACAAAAAAGAAAGAGAAAATGAAACTATATTAGTGCAAAATTTCTATAGTTTAATAGAAGTAAATATGTATTTGAAGTATATTGTGATAAATTAAAAATGCATACTGTAATTTTTAGAGCAGCTATTGAAAACAATATAAATAAGAACATATAAAATTTGATAGAGGAATTAAAATTATATAATAAAACATTTTTGCACAAAAGAAGGCAGTAAAGGAGGAAGAGAGGAACAAAGAAATGAGACTAAATATTAAAAGGGCAAAGAAGTCACATCAATAATACATACAATAATGCATATCATATCAATAATTACATACCTGTTTATGGTTTAAATAACTTACTATAAAGGAAATCTTATTAGACTAGATTAAAAAAGAAAGCTCCAACCACATGCTTTTGTAAGAGATGTATATTAAAATTAGACACAAAGGGGTTGAAAGTAATGGAATGCAAACACAAATCAAAGGAAAAATGAGCAACTATATTAACATCAGAAAACATAAATTTTAAAATAAGAAATATTAGTAGAGATAAAGACATTTTCATGATTATACAAAAGCCAATACAACAGAAAGACATAACAATTACAAATGTACCTAACATACCTAACAATTTAGCATTCAAATACATGAAGCAAAAACATAGAAAATTAAAACAAAAATTAGAGAAACAAACATTTATAGGTGGCAATTTTAACATTCTTAGTAACTGATAGAAGAAACAGAGAAAATCAAGTCAGAATATAGAAGACTTGAAAACAGTACCAACCTGCATGACCTAATTGACTACTGTATAACACTCATCCAACAAAACAAAAATATATATCCCTTGCAAGCAGCCATGGGAAATTCACCAGGATAGAACATATGCTGGGTCATAAAACAAGTCTCAATAGATTTAAAAGGTCTGAAATCAGACATTATCTGAACTGACTCATAAAGAAATAAAAATTTTAATAGCTGTGAATCAAGTTAAGAAGATTACAGTTTAAAAAGATCAATATACACAATTGTATTTTATCAATTTTATTTCTATATACTAACCAAAAACTTCCTCAAATGAAACTAATACACAGATTACATTCACAATAGCTTAAAAATAAAATGTACATATTTAACAAAAAAAAGTACAAGATCTTTATATTGAAAACAACAAAATACTGCTGCAAGGAATTAAAGACCAAGATAAATGGAGAGATTTATCACATCCATGAATTGGAAGACTTAATAATTGTTAAGATGTCAATTTTCCTGAAATTTATTTATAAATTCTATTAATAGACCAAATAAAACCAAATTCTAGCAACCTTGCATAAATTGACAAATAGACTAAAATTTTCGTGGAAATGCAAAGGATATAATATATTCAAAACAATTTTGAAAAATAATAATAAAGTTTGAGAATGTACAACTTGATTCTAAGATTTACTGTAAATCTAAAGTAACCAAGACAATATGGTACTGGTGTAAGGAAATATGTATGATAGAAATATATATATCATATATATATATATACACACAACTTATTATATCATAAATACATATATGTGTACATATACATGTGTGTGTATACAAACACACACACAATTAGTGTAACATACGGAATCACAAAAGAAATCCAAACAAGGTCAACTGATTTTCTCCAGAGATGCCAGATAATTCACTGGTATATTGGTTCACAACCACAGGAGTTCCCCAGGTGAAATTTGAAACTTGTCCTCAAACACAAAGAGACCAAAAATAGAAGAATATCATTTCAAATTGCTAAGTTGTAGGTTTCATAAACAAGGGAACTTATATATGAGGCTTGTCTTGGGCAGCCACAAGATGAGCAGATCTTTGCACCCATCTGCTAGAAGCTTAAAAGTTTATATAGAAGCCTTAACTGGGTTCAGTCAGGTATACTGTCCAGAGTCTTAACAGCACTTCCCTATCTCAATGCTGTTTTTGAAAATGTTTCCCATTGTGGGAACGGTGGGTGTGACATACATTCCAAGGAAAGGGGCCTGGGACCAGGGAGCCTCCAATAGCTTGGGTCATGTTCTCTCTATGACCTCCATCAAAAATTAGGGAAAGATAATTGTGGTTTTCTGCTTTTAGTAAATTATATTAGAATATCTGGGTATCCTTAAAGGATCAATAAAGGAATACTGGCTAATTTTTTATTTCATTCAGAGAACTGTATTCCAGGACTTAATTACTTTTATGCACAAACTGTCCCTCATTTGACCGTCTGAAGCATTTCATGGCTCCTTTAGTGTAAGCGGTGAAGTTGGAAAATACCCATTTTGCTAACGAAGTAACAAAAATTGGGCAAGAATAATCAATAGATTCCACATCCAAGGGATGAAAACACAAACCCAAAATAAGAAATACTTTCTTTTGAAAACAAATATCAGTGTCATTGAAGGACTAAAGAATAATGCCAGATTAAAGGAGACTAAAGGGAATTGACAGCCCAAATGCAGTATGTACTCATGGAGAGGAATCTGTAATGCAGGGTGAAATAACATAAAAGGACAATACTGGATAGCTGATAGAATTAAGATATGGATTATCAGTTAAAGTATTGTATCAGTGTTAACTTTCCAAAGTTTCATAATTGTATAATGATTTTAAAAGAAACATACACAAAATATTGTTAGAAATAAAAAGGAATAAAGATACAATTAAAAAGTAAATATGCCAAAATGTTAAAAACTGATAAATCTGAGTAAAGGACATAGGAGTTTTCTGTATTATTATTATTATTATTATTATTATTATTATTATTATTATTATCATCATCATCATCATATTTTTATATGTCTGAAATTATTTCAAAATAAAAGTTAAAAAATCCGCAATAACCGCATATAAGGTATCACAAAATTCAAGACATTTCAACAAACTGGGAGGCAAACTTTATTTACAGAAAGCCAATTTATGAGGAAAACTATCAAAACCAAAAATCTTTTTTGATTTAATGTAAGGAAATAGTAGGCTAATCTCACTTTTAGAAAATGAGTAGAAGTACAAATATAAGCCTCATGAGAAATGAAACTTTTTATGAAAATAACTTTGCTTTTTTTTATTTTTGAAAGACTTGAGCTCAACCCGTAAGTGGGTAGGTAAGAAAGATAAAAAATAAGTGTAGTCAAAAGACGTA